AAAGGAATCAACTAATGTTATTATTTCTTATTCCCAAAACTTATTCTGGAAAATGATTTCATAAAATTATTTAATTTGATCAACAAATATAAAAAATTATATATATTCATTTACTTCATCTTAGAAATTTTGAATGTCAACGGATATGCTATATAAATTATATGATCTAGCCTACCATAATTGGAAGATAATAAAGGTACTTATCACTACTAATTTTAACAATTAATTTTAATTTTCTCATTAATTCAATAACATGTTTATTGGTTTTTCTATGCAATGCCCACGACAAATAACATATAGTGAGGATTGTGAATATTGCGTCATGAGATCTTTTAATGACATCATCACTCATGGGATGACTGTAATCCCCGCTATGGTATGTATGTTATTTAGATTCAATTATATGTTATTATAAATTTTAATTTGCTGAAATAATTAACTTTGTTGTCACATTATATTATTGTAGTATTATCTCGATTCATATTGCAAAGAATTCAAGGATCATCACATCAATGAATTTATTGATGAATGGTGTAAGTACGTTTTCTAGCTGTGGGTAAAAAAAATAAGTGAATTGCACATTTTTGTTTTAGTTTTTCTCATTTAGATTTTATAATTTAGAACAATTTTAGTTTAGTATAGCAAACAATTTTATTTTACTTAATATTACGTTAAGCAATTGTATAGGAAATAAATTTTTTTATTTTAATAAAATTGTTAGTTTATTATAATTGAATTTAGTTTAGTATAATTATGAAATTAACTGGTCTGTATTTATATTATACTATTGTAAGGGGGCTGCAAGAAATGTAGCCAATGTATTTTAAGAAAATCAATATATTGGATGGTTATGTAGGATGACCATCCAATATAATGAACATATTGCATAGTTGTGGTCACAACTGTCTAATATTTGATAATATATTGAACAGTTATCATGATAATCGTCCAATATGCTTATTATATTGGACAGTGCTGGTAAACAACCATCTATCTAATATATATTTTACCTACACCACTCTTTTTAACAATATATTGGATAGGTCTTTAAACTGTCTAATATTATAATATTGGACAGTTGTACTAATCATCCAATATTTGTTTTATCAATATATGACGGTGTTACACAAGTGTCTAATATAGGCAAAAAGAATTGTTTAATATTTTCTTTTTTGTAGTAGTGATACTTTATATTGTCACAGTAGTTGTTAAAGTATCATTAATGTTTACAAACTGTCCAAGGGCCAAAATACGATCCCAACCACTAGTGGCAGGCAATTGCAAGTCCAAATTAATTAAATTAATTCATGAACCTTGTGCAAATGCAAATCCAAATTCAACATGTATGAAGAAAGGCAAATGTAGCAAGTACTTTCCTAAAACAATTGTTGATCACATAGTTGTTGAGGATGATGGATATTTAACTTACAGAAGGAGAAATGATGGTAGAACAATAATCAAGAATGGTGTAACTTTTGATAACAGATTTGTTGTACCTTACAATGCAAGGTTACTTGAACTTTTCCAAGCTCATTTGAATGTTGAGAAGACATATCAATCTACTTCCATAAAGTTCCTTTTCAAGTATATTAGCAAGGGAATGATTTTGTTATTGCTAGCATGTACAATAACAACAATGATTATGATGCTCAACAAAGGTTTGATGAAATTACTCACTACATCAATTGTAGGTATTTCTTTGCATGTGAAGGCTCTTGAAGAATATTCTCATATGACATACATGAAAGATACCCTCCTATAGAAATGTTAGTGCATATCATTTTCCTGACTATCAATCTATTGTTTACAAAGTAAACCAGAAAGTTTAAAGTGTTGTAGATAATCAGAGTATCAAACAATCAAACAGTCGATAATTATTGTATGGATGCAAAGAAATGATGATGATGGGTTTACAAGAAACCTACTTAGAGTTGCCTCATCACTATGTTTTTTACAAGTTAAGAATTTGAAAAGAATGACAAAGAGGATTTGCAGTAGGAAGACTAATAAATGCTTCTCCATCCCAAGGAAAATCATACTACCCACGAGTACTGTTAACCAAGGTTAGAGGTCCTAAATCATTTGAAGAAGTTTGGATAGTCAACAATGTTCAACAATGTTGTGCATTCGACATTTAGATTAGCATGCTATGCATTAGATCTTTTTGAAGATGACCAAGAGTATATAAATGCTATAAAGTAAGCCACATTTTAGGCATCTAGTAAATACCTAAGAAAATTCTTTGTAAGCATGTTGTTTAGCCATTGCCTCAGTCAACTCGACTTAGTTTGGAAGGAGACTTCTAACCTTCTATGTGGTGATTTTTTCTACATCCCTCATGCTAATTAGAACCATAGTGGTAAATATCTTTTTTCTTTTTTTGAAATTGGAAAAACTATTATTTTCCAAATAAATGCATAGAACTTATTTCCAAATAAATGCATAAAACTTATTAATTAAAATTCATTATGCATTTTAATGATAACTTTGTAATGACTAAAGTAGATATATTCAATTTTTCTAAAAAATCTGTATACAATATAGTAGCCAATAAATAATTCAAATATGCTTTTTTAGGTGTACAAATTTCACATGAAGAGAAAGAAAATAGTATACTACTAGAAATAGAGAATTCTTTATAACCAATAAAAAATATCTTGATGACTTCCCAACAATGCCTCAACCTTTAAGGAATTGCCGACATGATTCTTGAAATCAATTGATCATTCAAGAACTCAATTTCAATATTCAACATTTCAAGTCTGAGTGTGAGAAATATAGCAAAATGTTGATTGATGAATAACAAATAATTTACAATGAAATTATTGGAGCAATAATAAGGAATGAAGGAGGATTATTCTTCATTTATAGCTTTGGAGGACTAGAAAGACCTTTTTGTGGAATGCATTGATAGCACACATTAGATGCAAAAGGAAGATTGTTCTCAATGTTGTAACAAGTAGAATTGCAACAATTCTGTTGCCTTCAAGAAGAACTGCTCATTCAAGGTTTGTTATTCCCATTAATGTAAATGAAGATTCAATATGTAATATCTTTCATAACTCTCTACTAGCAAACCTTCTAAAGAATACAGATTTAATATGGGATGAAGCACTTATGATCAAAAGACAATGTATAGAAACATTTGACAAGAGTATGAAGGATATAATGAGATCCAATAAAACTTTTGGAGGCAAGGTTGTTCTAATGGGTGGAGATTTCAGACAAATTTTACCTATAATACTAAAGGAAGGTCATGTAGAAGTTGTTAACTCAACAATTAATTATTCTTATATTTGCTATCCTTGTAAGTTTTTCAAATTTACCAAAAATATGAGACTCAACACACCTGCATCTAAAATGGAGAAGGAAGAAATTGAAATCTTCTCAAAATATAATGATTGCTAAGCATAGGTGATGGATCCTTAAGTCTTCTACACCAAGGTATCACAAAAATTGAAATCCTTCTTGAATTGTTGATTATGAATTAAGATAATCCAATTGAAGCAATAGTTCAATCTACTTATCTTATGTTGCTTGACAAGTTCATTGAACTAGAATATTTCATTGAGAGAGCACTATTGGCTCTAATGCTAGATATAGTTGAAAAAATAATAATCATGTGTGTGTTTTGCTTCCTGGAGATCAAATTGATTACTTTAGCTTTGGTTTTGTTGAACTCGACCACATAAAAGCTCTCTTCTTCTATATTCAACAATTCCATTATCTTACTCAATTATGATGACTCTGCGGATTGTGACCTTAACTTAGATGCTTCTGAGGGCTTCACAACATCAAACTTGACTATGGCGGCAGCAGTGAAAGCAGCAACTTGGATGTTATGAGAGGAGCATGAGGCAAGTCAAGGGAGGATGACAGCAATCTAGGAAGTTAAGAATGGCCGATTTGCCTTTGATGGATAGAGTGGTAACATTGTGGGTTTGAGCAGTCATTTTTAGGGGGTGAAAGTGTTGAGGTAGATGTGATACTTCTGACAAGGCTCATGAATCTCAGTCACCTATTTTACTTAGCATCACATTTGGACTCCAATTCATGGTAGTATGGGAGCTTGCTGGTAGAAGAGGAGGAGAAAGAAGAAGGGAGAGCAAAATTACTCCATTTTTAAAACTTCTAGAGAAAATAAGCTCCAAACAAAATTTCAGGATACCCAAACACCCATGGAAAAAAATTTCAAGGCAAATATGCCATTTAATTCTTGGTTAAACTTCAATTTAATAATTAACATTTTTTATATTTAATGGTGAGATAAAAATGTTCTCTTTTAAAAAATTCGAGGCAAAAATAATTTAAAAAAAAAGTTTAGGGTATCAAACGTTTCTAGAGAAAAAGTTTCAAAGTAAATTTGCCATTTAACTCTTTAAAATATTATGATTCTACAAAAGTTATGGTTTTGTTTCCATGTAATTCTACTTTCCATTTAAAGTAGAATTTATTCTCACGGGAATTCACTTACAATTCCGGCATTTCCCGACGAATTGATTGACTACATACAAAAAGAATGAGTGCTTTTATTTTAATATTTATTGCTCCTACTACTAATTTATTTTTTAAAACAATTAATATAAAACGATTTTATTTTAACAAAATTATGTATTCCATGATTGAATTTAATAAGTACTGGTCTTTATTATAAAATGCTTTTTTTAAAAAAATTTAATCCTTAATATAAAGTATTTGATGTGATATTATTATATTTTTTTAATATTATTTTTATTCGAACTCATTAAATATAATACAAATATAAAAAATTATTTAAATATAAATAAGATGAAATGTTTATTGTATTTTTAAATAAGTTTAATGACTAAATCACTGCCATTTAATTCTAATAAAATAGTTAGAAAAGACGTGTCTTCTGTATCATCAGAAAAAGACACTATCAAACAAACAAAACAACAAACCCTTCATCGCCAAAAAAAAAAAAAAAAGCATAAAGACAGCTTAAAAGAACATTCTCTATAAAAGGCCTTCAAATTTCTTCTGTTCTCGTCTCATTCCCCTTCAAACTCGTTGAACGAATTCTCAGTTTCATCTCACAGTGCTTCAAATCACCAACGAAACGAATTGAAAACGAAGACGACGAGGACGAAGGTAGAATAAACAGATCAAACTGTTCAATCTGTGGAGTATGCGTGAAGAATCGAGGAAGTGGATCCTACTGGTGGCGTCGATATGGGTTCAAGCATTCACAGGGACGAACTTCGACTTCTCGTCGTACTCATCGGATCTGAAATCGGTGATGGACATAACCCAGCTTCAGCTCAATTATCTGGCGGTGGCTTCAGACATGGGAAAGGTATTCGGATGGTGCTCTGGTCTGTGTTTGCTGTATCTTCCTCCGTGGCTCGTCATGTTCATCTCTGCGTTTCTTGGCGTTGTTGGTTACGGCCTTCAATGGCTCGTCATTCAGAGAATCATCTCTTTACCTTATGTTCTGGTCAGTTCTCTGAACTCCTCTCTCATCTTCATTCTCTCTGATAAATGTGCTTTGATAGGTCATGTGGTTAATTCCTTAACTGCCTGTGAAATTTTTTATTACTCTGTTTTTTTTTTTTACAACTGTTTTATTACTCTTTATAATAAATGGGTTAAGATTGAAAGGAGAAAAGACAAATCATTTTTTTATAGAAGTAAGGAAATGATTATTTTTATTAATACATGAAATATGGATGGAAATGTGTTATAATTTGGATTTTTTGTCAAAAAAAGGTCAAATTTTTTAGATACAAAAAATAATACAAACACTGATAACTGAAACTAAAAATATATTCAAAAGAACATGTAAGTACAAGCTAACACACAAACCACAGAAAATAATAGAAACAAACAAAAAGAAAAACAAAGTGAAGTCAACAAACAGAAAACAAGAATTACATTGTATGGTTTTTGTTTTCAAAAATAAAATTAAAAAAATTAAAAAAACTTGTTTGGATGAGTGTTTTGAATTTAATTATTTTTAAAATTGTTCTTATTTTTTGTTTTTAAAAAACAAAAAATAGAAACATATCAAAAGTTTTTCATTTTATTTTTCTTATGTTTAAAGTAAATTACATTTGCTTATTGAAAACTATAGTTAACTTGATTAATAATTATCATAAGCTACTACCATTTGTCGCCAGTGACCATCGACTGATTTTTAAGTTTAAAACTGTTTTTAACTTAATATAATTAAACAGATTTTTTTCATTTTGTTTTAAAAAACAATTTCAAAAACAGTATAGTCAAACAATTTTTGAATAGCAATGAAACGAAACCAAAGTGTGTTAACTTTGTTTAGTGTAATTTTATCATTTATGTTCTGTGTTTGAATTCAGTTTCGTTTTCTTATAATTCCTTCATTTAGATAATATTGGTCAGTACTTTTCTTTTGGTCCTCTGGAAGTCTGGATGAGTTTTTCATTTAGCAAATATGCATGGGTAAGAAAAAAAGGTTACATTTAAGTAGTTAAATTTTAAAATATTTAAATCATTTTTTAGTAGCATTTTTATAATGAAAATATTATCAAATTGTTGGTTTCTGTGTACTATTAAATTTGATGGAAAAACATATGCAGTTAATTTCTTCAACAAATTACTATAAATTTATTTAAAAATAAAATTATAAGTGTTATAATGTTTAAATGTAAATCAATACATAATTATGACAATATATACAATAAAATTTATAATAAGTCACTATTTCAAAAAGCATGAATTATATGACTCATTCCTCATGAATTGTATTGAAAAATATAAATATTGTTTCGATTGATTATTATTCCTTTAAAATTGATCATTCATTTTTATCCTTAAAATAATTATAATTTATTCACATAACTTTATGTTAACATTTTAAATATTTATCCATTTATAACTAAATTATTAAAAATAAAAATAAGATGGCATGAAAGTTGCCCTTAATTGCTGAATTGTTAAATTCTAATTTTTTTTGTCGAAGAATATTTCTTATATTTAAATTATTTGTCCATCAGTTAGTTAATTTCCATAAATACCAAAAATTTTATCCATTATTATTTTATATGAATGGAGATTTAATTGCATATTTTTATTGTATAATTTTGTCGCTTGTTGGATAAAGATTTTGACTGTATAGATTTCCAAAAGTTTATTTATTTTTTAATTATTTTAATTCAAAATAAGTCAATATAAAATAAAAATTATTCTTTAAATTTATATAATATCCGGACTAAATTCCAATGATTCCAGCTTTTAAATTAAACAAACACAGTGACCTAAGGGGCTTTATAGAGATATTCACGAAAGCCAAGAGAATAGTATTTGAGTTCTCTTCCCAATAAAAAAAATAAAATAAAGTTAGGTTATTGAATTAATCATGAATTTTACCGAATCGAACGGTTAGTCTAACTTGGAAAGTGAATTATTATGTAGATGATACATAATTGACCGTTAGTTGAAAAAATAGCTGGTTGGTGGACCCAGAAAAAAAGAATTATTATGACATTTTTTTTCATATAAAAGAAAAAGTTTTTACAGTGCTTTTTTTTTCTAACTCATTAGTCTCATAATATGAGACTTGTATTTTTTTGGGAAAATCAGTTAAGGAAATGCGCGAGCCTCTTGAAGCCACACAACGACAATCCTGACCGCAAGTTTAAATGGTGACTGAAAGCGAAAACAAAAACAATTATTCTTTGGGACCCACAATTTTTGTTTTAATATTGAGTCAACATATGAATAATGGTTAATATATAATTTAAATTTTAAATTATAGATTCATGTTTAAATTTTAAATTTTTAAAAAATACATTTTAAATTTTAAATAATTAAAATTAAAATAATTTTATTTTTATTATTAAGCTTAAATAAATGATTGTTTAAATAGGGCTTAATATGTGATTTGCACTAAATAAGTGTAAGAAGGAGAGAGAGATTGAAATTTGATGAAAATAACACATTTGACCTTAATTTTTAAAAGTTAATACATGTTTGTTGAAATTTGATAGTGAAGTGAAATTGCCTAAATTTTAATTATTTTAAATTTAAAATGTACTTTTTAAAATCTTATAGTTCAAATAGTCCCTAAACTTATAATTCAAAATTTAAATTGAATATTAACCCTTTAAATAAATTGCTTATAAAAAATTCTACAGATTTTTATACCCTCAGAACAAGCAGGTGGAGTGGTGGAATTTACTCCCACATATACTTAAAATGAGCACCGAATTAAAAAAAAAAACAGAGAGAAAAAAGAATTTAAGTTTAGGTTAACTTAAATTCAATTTTTTATTAACTTTTAATTTTAATCTAGTATGGTATGGGTAACTTCTAATTTTTTAAAAAAATTGATAATAAATGTCTGAGAAATTTTAAATTTGCAGTTAGGATGATGCGAAGTATGCCATTAAACATTTTTACTTTACTTTAAATTTAAAAGAATTAAATATACATAATATAAAATTTATGAAAATTAATTAATAATATTTAAAAATTTTTTCTTTCGCAGCTTAAATCTCATGAGAATATCCAAGAAGACGTTATTTTTTACGAAAATATTTTGTGAGAAATTTAATTTTTTCTTGGAGTGTTACAATGAAAATTTTAATTTATACAAGTTTTAAAGATTAAGAGATTATTACATAAACATGATTAAGAGATTATATATGTAGATCTAAAATCTGATAAGATTTAGTATAATTTAACCTTATTACCTTTATATATATTTTGAAAAAAAAACCTTAGCTTTATATTAAGAAAAAGAGAAATATTATAAAAAAGAAAATTTAATTCATTGCCCATAGATTCCCACAGAAAAATAACAAGTAAGGATCTCATAAGAAAATTAATATCAAATTAATTTTTTTTAAAATTTTAACATTACTGAACTATGGAAAAAAGAGTTATGAATTTGGAAATTTTAGCTGATCTTAACTTGATATTAATTTTTTTGAAGGTTTTTATTTTTCATTTTCCTAATTTTCTTTGTCGCTTTTTGCTTTAAATATTTCTTTGTAATTTAACTTCATTCTTTTTATTTAACACCAAAATATTGTCTTTGCATACTTTTCATTTTCAGCTAATTTAATTAGGTGACGACTTTGGTCGAACAAATTCCCCTACGTACTCGCTATTTATTTTAATTTAATTGAAGACATGCATTGGTTGAACAAGTGTGTGTTAGATGGAACAAGATTTATGTAATTAACCTTACATGTTAATAATATACTTTTATTCAATCAAATTAATATATATATATATATATATATCTTTTAATGTGTTAATAATATTCTGGTAAAAAGTTTGTTATACAATAAATAATCTATAAAAGATTCATATATTTTTGTTTAATTAAAAACAAATATCTTAAATATATAAGGTTAAGTATATATTTTTTTATTTTTTATATTAATATTTTGTTTCACAGGTACGATATGCTCCTCTCTAATTAACTAAAGTTGCAATTTCAAAATAAATGAATTAAAGTCTCTCACACGCACGAATCTTTGTTTTTTTTTTTTCCTTTTACTATCATTTTATAGCCATATCTCTAAATAAATTAATTAATAAATCGTATAGTCTTTTGTAATAATATTTAAAATTATGAGATAAAAATATTTTATTGTATTTAGGAGTGGTTGTCTGTGAAATAACTTACATTAATTAAGAATTAATGGATAATCTGAATCTTTCCTTACAGTCCGCATGTAGCTTATGACGACATTGGTGCAAAGTTGTTGGCCTCAATACCTAACTGTCAAGATGATTGTTGTAAAGCAAGAAATAAATGGGTTTGCTTGCTCTTCAAGATAGAACGCATTAAAATTTAAACTTTAAAAATAATAGTTTAGCCACCCAGTCACCCACCTTTTTCTTAACTTTCTTTACATTTATCCACACTATTAGGTCTCTTATTCAAATATTATGATGACGACTGCAGTGACGAATTCAGACTTGTCAACATGGGAGGGGGGCATTTGAAACCATAAAAAATATGGGGAGAGGGAAAACTAATTTTACATTTTTTACGAAAAAAAATTTAAAAAAAATAAAAAAAATATATGAAGGAGCATTAATTGGGGGGGGGGGGCGCTTGCCCCCTCTGCATTCGTCACTAATGACGACGACGACGGCATGATGTTACGTTACCTTGCATGAAGTATAGTCAGCTGAGTTTTGTTCACTCAATCTAACCATTGTTAATTAGTATTTTGTTAATTATTAGTTAATTTTAAATTTTTTAAATTAACTCATCGCGCTCTCTTTAGAAATATATGTTTATATTTTATAACAAGCATTGACTTTTTTTGCATACTATTAAAATAATAATCAACCATGAATCTTTATTAAAAAAGTATTTATATTTAGTATTCAGATATATGTTAATTGTTTTTAATAAGAGAATACTTATAAATAATAATAAAAATAATCAACCATGTAATAATCACTAGCCTCAGCCATCAAACATAGGATAATCTTGGTCATTAGTTTCATAGCTCTCTCTCTCTCTCTCTCTCTCTCTCTCTCTCTCTCTCTCTCAGAGACAGGATAACTTGCTGACAATTCACCCAGGTGTCACTATCGAAATTTACATGTGTACCTGTAATTGTCATTCCTATTGTCATGTCAGATTATTTTATTATATATTCATTACAATATATAGAAATTCCTTCCAAAAACAGTTGTTTTGCCTTCCATATTGGTATATTGCAGAGGTGGCTCTTTTCATGCTTGGAAAATCGTCCATCTAGTTAAATGATGAGATGATCATAAGGAATGCTTGGACCTATTTCGTTTGTTTGTTTTTTTAAAACTTATTTATATAAATGTTTTGAATTTAATTAATTCTAAAATTGTTCTTATTTTTTATTTTTTAAAAAGAAAAAATAAAAACATCTTAAAATTATTTTTATTTTATTTTTTATTTCTAAAAGAATTATATTTGATTATTAAAAGTTACATTTATCTTGACTAATTATTATATCACAAGGCATTACCATTAACTACTAGCAACTATCATTATTAGCTGATTTTTTTAATTTTATAACTGTTTTTAAATAAACACAATCAATTAGAATTTTGTTTGTTTTGTTTTAAAAATAATTTTAAAAATTATATTACAATATATGTTTTAAAAATAAAATATTAGAACATAATCAAACGTGCCCTTGGCTTTCTACTTTTTGGAACTCTTGACTTCTTTTTTTGTTTTGGCACAACCTTAAATGAACCATATTCATTACTCATTAGCATCTCGTCTGATCTCCACATAATATCAGACTATGTTGAACAAAGTTTCATATGATAATATCGCAAGCGCGCACGCACACACACACATATAGTTTCAAGTATTTGGCTATACCATAATTTAATTAATCGAGAATTCAATTCAACCTAGCAATTAAAATTTAATTAAAACCATACGCAGGTGTTTCTTTCATGCTTGGTAGCTGGTTGCAGTATCTGCTGGTTCAACACTGTGTGCTACGTCTTATGCATAAAAAATTTCCCATCAAGTATTCCTCTTGCACTCTCTCTAAGCATCAGCTTCAATGGCGTAACTGCAGCTCTATACACTTTCATTGTCAACTCAATCAATTCCAGCGATGACACTCTCTACCTCTTGCTCAACGCCCTGGTTCCTTTACTAATCTCCTTTGTCGCACTTGTCCCAATCTTGATTGCCCGGCAGCAACCGGCGCATCCTCTTCCATCATCTGACTCCATTCGCCGCCGCGACTTCCCAATCTTCATCGGCCTCTACGTCCTTTCTCTCATTACAGGCATGTATTAAACTACTCATATTAAGTATGCTTGAAAATAGTCTATTTACCTAATTAGTTTGAGCCATTTAATTTAACATACCTTAAACTTTATATATTCTTAGTCTGTCTTTTAATTTCTAAATATGAGATTTTTTTGACTTTTTTATCTCTAATATTTCTTATATTATTTTTTTCCTTTGATTTTTTATATTTTCTTTTTCTTGCTTAGGCTTGTACTATTTCTTTTAGTCTCAAAGGCCTTAAGTTTATTCGATTGATATTTGGTTAGATACACACACCCAAAACCTTTTATATATATATATATATATATATGTTCTTAATCTATTTTTTAAGTTCTATACGTGGGACTTTTTATTTCTAATATCGTAGGTCTCTACCTCCTTGTCCTTGAAACCATGACTTCTAGCACAACCTGGGCACGTGTTATCCTCGTGGGTGCTGTTTTTCTGCTTGTGATTCCATTGTTCGTTCCTAGGATTGTATATAGCCGTTTCGTTTCCTCAAGCTGCTGCCTGCGAAACTCAAGCGTCGATGATGATGATGATGAGATTGATAAAGGGCTGCTTATTGGTGGTGGTGGTGGTGATGATGATGACGTTGATAAAGGGCTGATGGGTGGTGGTGATAATGATGATGATGATGAAGAAGAGGAAAGTGTGGTTTTGATGAAAGAGAATAAACTTAAGTATGGTCTCGTGAAGGAGATAATGCAGAGGGACGAGATGAGAGTGATTTATGAAGAACATTCAACGAGGTTGTTGTTCAGAAGGCTAGATTTCTGGTTGTACTATGTGGCATATTTGTGTGGAGCTACCATTGGATTGGTTTACAGTAACAACATAGGGCAAATTTCAGAGTCATTGGGATTCAGTTCGGAGACTAATTCCATGGTATCATTGTACTCCATATGTTCCTTCTTTGGTCGTCTTCTCGCTGCTGGCCCAGACTTCTTGAGCAAGTACGTGATCAATACTATTTTAGTTGTTTATTTACATTTAGGTCAACTTTCATTTGGATCCTCTACTAAAAATTTCTTAGCTAAAATATATAGACTTTTTTTGAAATTTGAGGTAGTTGCATAGAACTCTTTCATCTTTAAATATTTAAAATTAACATCTCAAAACTTTTTATTTTTCTTTTACTACATACTCTGCTGTTTTTATTTCTTACATGTTTTACTAATAGAAGTTGTTATGTCATATTAAGAAAAGATATATAGTTGTTTATTGACATTCCATATAGGCCAATAATAACAGAAAAAATGTAGATAAAATTTTTAAAAAGCTATTATATATTAGCTTACATTGAATGACACATAAGTTGCTACATGTTTTTTTCTTAATGACATGATAACTTTTATTAGTCAGATAACTAAGAAATAACATAGGAAAGTTTGTTATAAAAAAAAAGTTTAGGGAGGTTAATTTTGAAATTTTAAAGGTAAGAGAGGTTTTGTGCAACTACTACCTCAAAGTTCAGGAAAATTTTGTATACTTTAGCCTTTTTTTTTTTTAAATTCCTTATAGTCCCACAACTGAAAAGAGATAGACATACAGTAATGGGATTCACATTATTGTCCCTGATTTTATGATCTTGGTATATCTTTGGGTGAACACAAGGGGCTTATGTAATGATTAGTAGGTATAAAATTATTTTTTCAGAAAGGAAATGAGAAATGGAAGTGTTTCATTTTCTTTTTAGGTGCAATTTTTATTTTCTTTTTGAAAAAAGTACATTTTTATATATCAAACATTATTCGCTACTTTGTGTTAACTTAAAGAAGCCGTGACTCATGAACCTAAGGATAACCCTGCTCTCAGTAATGAGTCCCATTTATTATTTGCACACTTCCTAACAAGAACTAATCCACAAATGGTATATATACAATAATAATGCAGCTGGAAAATACACTTTCCAAGGACAGGATGGTACACAATAGCCCTGATTCCAACACCAATCGCATTCGCTTTGCTTGCAGCATCATCTGGAAGCGAAGCATCACTGAAAATAAGCACAGGCATGTTAGGTTTAAGTTCTGGCTTCGTCTTCTCTGAAGCAGTCTCCATTACTTCTGAGCTCTTTGGGCCAAACAGTGCTCCTGTGAACCACAACATCCTCATCACCAACATACCTATAGGTTCATGTCTCTTTGGCCTTATTGCAGCTTTGGTTTATGACTCCAACTCCGATTCAACATCGACGGCGACACGTGGCATAAGCTGGTTTCTTCGCATGTCGATGTGCACCGGAAAAAAATGTTACTTCCAAACTTTCATATGGTGGGGCTGTATTTCCATGGTGGGTTTGGTTTCAAGCTTGCTGCTTTTCTTGAGGACTAGGATGGCTTATGACAATTTTGAGAGAAATAGAAAGAGACACAGAAATTCGACATCGAACTGATTAGTTTTAGAATGTGGGAGGATGTGATCATGTTTTGTAGTGATGTCCACAATTCCGACATTTATGATCAAGCAGTGTCACAAGATATTTGAATGTGTGCTGATATGCAAAACGTCGTCGTTTATAAGTTATTAGGTGTGATACGTAATGTTTTTGATCATGACATGCAAAATTTATCACAATGTACAAATGGGGAAGCGAGGACCCGGAACTATAGGGGTGGTAAGATAATTTAATTTAAAAATTCTACTTTTTTTAAAAAATAAAAATTACATAAGGATTAAAATTTTAATAATATAAGTAATTAATTATCATTTTTTCTTTTTGAAAAATTATATTGAACATGTTGACATGGTTTTTTATATGTAAATATATTTATATCTTATCTCAATCATTAAAACATTAAAACATTACATATTTGAGCTTTTAAGCTCAAATATTTTTTATTTTGTTTAGAGGGTGTAAAATGTCAAAGGTGTGAGATGAAAAGTTGCAAAATTTACTTACCATATAATTTGTTTCAAAGTGAAGGTATATGTTCAAAATTCATTGGTTTTTTCAATCATGAGTAAACCATGGTCAAACTAATCATGTAATTTTCATATCACAGCTTGGTTTAGTGATAAAGAGCACATTTAATTTCTTTCTTATTGTCTGCTAAAACAAAATTCTTTGTTTTTTTGAAACTCAAAAGATGGGTATGGAGCAATGTTTTTAAGATTAGATCAGTCATTAAATTGATTAAAATACCTATTCATGGTTCATTGGTTCAACTGTGGTTCAACCATAGTTGAAACGGATATAATAAAAAATAAATTTTAATTAAACATTATTTATTATAAATAAAAATAATATACCAAGATATATTTTTAGGCGGTTCACAATAATAAAATTAAATTAAAACTAAAATAGTTAAATATTATAAATGTAATACATGTATTATAATAGATGAGATAATAATTATAAAAAAATTTAGCATTCCAAATAAATTGATGTTTGTGAAAATATTTTATTTATAAAGAATATAAAAAAATATTAAGATATGCAAACAATTAAAGATCTTATTTTTTAAATAAACTGATATCAAAATTGGTCAAAAAATAAAAATAAAAAACTGATAACAAAAGCACTTGGAGTCAGCTAACCTATATCTATATTGTTCTACAAACATCTTCCTTGCATGGCTCCTCCATTCGGTCATTTCATATCAATGATAATAAAAAAGTAATGTACATGTCTCAAGAATACAAGCTTTGTCCTTATATCACTTATTTCCAGATCACGCTTTTCAAGTTCTGAGAAGCAAAAAGTAGCTCTTTTCCTTCTCTGGTTGTGCACGCCTGAAAGCCAGGTATTGTATTTTCTTCCTCTTTCCCGTCTTTCGTCTTCGATTTTTTCCCCTCTTCTTCTTTCTTCTTCTTTCTTTACCCACAGTTTCTTCTTCTTCTTCTTCTTTCTTTCTCTTGGAGGCTAGCCATGGAAGAGGGTTAACATCACAAGCATTGTCGAATGCGGCCATAAAGGAAAAGAATGGAGGGAGGCTTTTATTTTGGGTTTGGAAAAAATGAGAAAAATTTGACCTGCCGGTTCTTTAAAAACCACTCTCGGTTTGTGGTTTTCAAGCGGTTTTCGGTCCTCAGCCCTAGGCGATTCAATCTAGCCAAACCCTTGAAATGGTTTGATGGTTAAAACCAGGCTGCTATAGTGATCGGCCGACGGTCCAACCGATCGAACTCATATTTATAGGGATGTTGGAGAATACAAGAAGGCCCATCAGAAGCAAAAGAAGGCCCACTCGTGTGAGACTAAGAAGTTCAAAGTTTTCGGGCTCAAGACCAAGTCGAAAATGGATTAGCCTTGCTGTTATAGTTACAGCTGATTGCCTTTAAATTACATGTGATGCATAAATTTATGAGATTATCTTCATTCACAATTAAATTTTTCATAAATTTATTATTAAAATTTTTTTAACAGATGGGCATACTTGTGTCATGTTATTCGTGATTTGTTCAATTGAAATGCCCTAAGTCATTTATATAAAATTTTATGTGATAATATTTTTATTGAATTTATTCAGATAATAGAATTTTATATTTAATTTCTTTTATTTTTCTCTCTACTATTATTAATATCAAAATCAATTCATGCTTAATGTCATCTAAATGTCATGTTTTGTGGCACACCTGGTCTACCTAAATTTTTTTCTCATTCTTGACCTTTTTCTAAAATTGATCACAAGTGATTATCCTTAGATTCAAAAATAATGATATATAAATTCATAAAACTATCTATCAATTTACAATTTTCCTTGGTTAATAAGTAACATACTTAAATTCACAATTAATTTTAAATTTATGACTCACATTCCATTGGTTATTTTAATACTTATTAATTTTTAATTATAAATAAAGATCATGGTCCTTCCATGATATTTTGATAATTAGATGTCTTCAATTGTCATTGATACCTTTACAAGGTCTGAAATTATGTTTTCCCTATTTTTTTCCAAATGAATTGTTCTATTTTATTTTTACAGCTTTTTAAAAGAAAAAAGAATCAAATAATTTTATTATTTCTTATTCCCAAAACTTATTCCGGAAAATTATTTCATAAAATTATTTAATTTGATCAACAAACATAAAAAAATGTATATAGATTCATTTACTTCAACTTAGCAATTTTGAATGTCAACAGTATGTTCTATAAATTAAGGTCTACAAAATATTGCTTTGACTTGAATAATTTAGGGAAATGATATCCTATTGTTTGCAATATCACTTGAACAATAATTCTATTTGTGCTATACGTCAATCCAAGCAAGCGCACATGTACATAAGGAGTTTCTAGAAATGCATCTGACAGTGGAGGCGTTTCCAGAAACAAGAAACGCCGATGTAGGTCTAAAAAATTCTTTTCCATTATGAGATCCTCAATCATTAAATAAATGTTTTTAAATAATATTTTAAAACAAAGAGTCTGATCTAATCGTAATAATTAATTTACATGTCTTTAATAATTAATTTTTTATGTTCAGTTTTATCATTTATATTATTTGGTATATAAGGTTTTTTTAATCATTTATATTAATTTTAAATTTTAAATTGAATGTAGTTGAATATATTTGAGAAATAATGTTTTATTAACTTCTGATATTTAATGTTTAATGTATAGAAAGGAAGAAAGTGGATCCAGTGAATAAAAGAAATGAAGGAGAAGCAAAATGAAATTTGAAGAAGAAATACTATAGATATTGAAGGAAAAACGAGAAGAGCTATGGTTGTGGAGAAATTTTTGCTAAAAGCAACTTAACTGGAGAGGAGAAATGACAATCTGAAATGATATGAAAAAAGTATAATTAAAGTATATATTTAATCATTTAACTTTATACAATGTTTTATTTTAGTCCCTTAACTATATAAAATATTTTTTTAATCATTTAAACTTACATTATTATTCTTATCCTAACAAATCTTTATATTGAACTTTTAAATATTGATAAAATATTTTTAAATGTTGACACATTAAATTTAATTTTTTAAGATAATAATAATTGACACAAAGATAATCATTTGAAACTAACAATGTTAATGTTAAAGAACTAAAAAGATATTTTATAAATTAAAGGATCAAATTAAAACCTTATATAAAACTAGAGAACTAAAAGTATACTTTAGTCAAAAATTATTTATAGACAAAAGGCTTGCAATGAGGCATTATGTACAAAAACACATCCAAGTGTTTATTTAAAATGCTTTTAATGGGGGCTTTTATGAAATGCCTCTTATCACGCTTCAAAAATAGTGAGTGGCTAGTAAGGAATGTGAACTATATTATATATCTCCTAAGCCTTAAATTAAAAAATCTTTTTTTTTTAAAACACAATTAAATTTACATTGAAATTATGATATATTTAATAATATATACATTATAACAAAAGTTTTAATATTTTTGTAAAAATTTCAGCAAAATCTTCCTGTAAATAGGGCCTCATAAAAATTCTACAATACAATATCTTATACAAATATCATATCAATCAGGAGCTCAATTCCTTTCAGTCAGTAGACATAATATATAACAAAATAATGACCCTAGTTTTAGCCTATGCAGAGCACACCTAACAATTTCATAATGTAAAACATAAATTTAATCATTACATCAAAAGCAAAATTAGCAAAATAATTATCCTCCTAGCTCAACAATAAGTCCTCAATGGTTAGCAAGAGGTTCAGCATCAGCTAAGATATCTAAAATCAAAATTTTTTTTAATGAATAATGTCCCAACAATAAATAATTGAACAAGAATAGAAAGAAAGTTTGAAATAATTATGCAAACTAAAGAGATAACAAATTTTTATATAAAATATTTAATAAATTTTGAAATTAATGGGCTCTATATAATCTTAAATAAATCTTGAATCATTAAATTATTGTATAAAATATTATCATCACTTGTTCTCAAGAAAACAAATAAACAAAATAATTAAATAAATATAATAACATCACTAATCAAAATCAACGAAGTATAAAATCACCCAATATTCAAAACTTATGTTTTTGGATTCTTATTAGAGTAATTAACAAACATGGACACACAGTCCATGAGAGTAAATAACCAAATGTAGCTTATGTCATGAAAACAAACGTATACACATAGTCCATTAGGATAAGTAACTAAACACCTTGAGTTATAAAAGAAAACGTGGACACATAGTCCAAGAGGATATACTAACCAAACACAATTCGAAGCCACGAGAACAAATGCAAGTATTAGACCCATAAATAATGAACGTGAGAATAGAGCTCATGAAAACAAACTAGCTAGTTATTGGGATAGTGTACCATGACTAACGAAAATGTTGTTAACAACCAGTGCTATGAATAAGGTCTCATTCAAGTCCCTTTCCCAAATCCATTTTTACACATACAAAAAATAATTACTATCAAAATATACTTTCATTTTCGGTATCAAACTTGCATGAATCAATTCAAGCATCAATTTAATATTTACTAAAATAAAATTTCATAATTAATTTCCATACCAGCATTTGTTGATTAATAAAAAAATTTCCAAAGCCAGTGAAATGATTTTTTCCAATTTGAAAGTGTATGACA